AGGATGTGGATGTCATTCAGAAGTGTTATGGTGAGAGTGGAATAGAGGGTGTCGTACCAGTGACTGACGAACTGACAAACGCTGTCTATGTCAACTATTTTTGCGCTATGTGTAATCTGGTCAATGAAAACGTTGTTCCTTGGAGAATATCAATCCATTGTCAATTGAATTCCCCACCACCCCCCGTATCAGGCACTGGATTTCTCATCCGATTGGTAAGCGTGGTTCAGCGATCAGGAAAATCGTGTTTGATTTCCAAAGCTCCAAAGGATAAAGGTTTAAATATGCGACGATCCTGTGTTTCTATTTCAACCACTCAATGTAGCGAGAGATGCAATGACGATGTTATTTTAGAAGCCTGTAAATCTGGAGTTCGAGATCCACAAAATTTCGGAATGGGAGGTTTGATTGTACGAAATGCTTATTGTTTGCAATGTCTCAATCGGGCCAAAAGTCGAGACTGCGACAGTTATAGAATGCCGAACGAAGGCAATAAGATGTCAAATTTCTTCGCTTACTCCGTATTAGTTGATGTGATCAATGATTCTGGTTCCGTCTTGCAGATCAAGGCAGATTCGGGTATCGTGGGCGTTGACTCTCTTATAAAGGTGAAAGGCGCAGAGATAAGTATGATGAAATGTCCTAGACTGTTTAAGCTAGTCAAAAATGAATGCGTGTTATCCGAGACACAATTAAAGGTTTTCTGTAAAATCCCAACAAGAAACAGCAATACTCAAAATATCAAAGCGCACGTTACCAAGATTATAACAGAAGTCTTTGATATTGTTGGTATTTTGTATGTAAATGTTTGGTCTGATGGTTTCACGCATTGTAATTTCTTTGTCCCGTTCCGAAATGAAACATCTGATTGGAAGACTAAGTTTGATCATAAGGAAAAAATCCTTCGTCGATCTTTTCCTCCTGTCGAATCAACTTCATCTGAACGTTATTGTTTATTTGAGAAGGACGGGACTGAATTGTCCCACGCGAATCTAGTTGAAGGTAACACAACAACGGAAGACCAATCGGCCTAGTGGCAACGGTGGAATAACGAATGCTGGAATTAGGCTCTGGTCAGACTTGTATGGATTCGTTTCTGCCTCGCTCGTTTTTGCTTTCACCTACCAGTTCAACGATAAACTTAACTTGATCGAGAATCATATCTAAAATACACGGCTAAGGTTGAGAATGGGTTTATGGTGCGATCTATTTTTGTTGGGTATTGGTTGTAAAAGATTGGAGTGGGACTAAGCTGGGATTGTTGACTTATCGTGCAACTTTAAAGGTGAGAATTTTGTATCTTTTAAGAATGTGCCCTACAAAATTTGACAAGTTTGAAGTTGTCTTTTACATTTAACCACGTTTCCTGATTTAGTAAATTGCACTTTTAGTTTATGACAAAACATTTTTGGTATTCCGAAAGCAATTCATACATTTTAAATTGCCTCCTAAAATAATTCTTAAAATTGTAATTTGCATTTGTATAATACATTTCTATGTTCATTATTTTGTTTTGACAAAAATAGAAAAAAACATCATGTCATGACTACAGATTAAAATCTTGTCATGTTTTTGCCCAGTTGTTTTAGACCCAACTTGCATAATTATGTATAGCGTCTTGTTGCACTTATGATGTGCAAAATAAAATATTATCAGCAACATATATGCTTTCTTGTGTTAACATCTTTATGCAACGAGCAAGTACCTAACAGCAATCTGAGCGACTGAATCATAAATATTCACTTATTCCAAATAAGTGTTTTTATGAACATAGCGTCTTGTCTATTATCACAGTCATTATTATAATTAGTGGGCGGAGCTTGGGAATGTGAGTGGATCACATTATTTATTTCTTAAAGTAGAGACGTACACAGCAGCCAGAAGAACACTTAACATCTGTTAACATCTTTATGCAACGAGCAAGTACCTAACAGCAATCTGAGCGACTGAATCATAAAATGTATTGCTAGAATAGGGAAATGCATTGTTCTTGTTTATGAAATAAATGTATATAAACAACTATCTAATGCAGATGTACCGTGGAAATTCATAAAAACCAAATGAGCAGGATAACTATCATGCCCGATGATTTTCTTTCATTATCCGCGCATGGACATTGGCCCGCTGTATACATGAACGAGAAAAACAAGTTATAGTACAACTATAAAGTACATTTTGCTCATTTAAGCTTAATCTCATCACGATTATTTTATTCAAAGCTCTGAATACAATTATCTAACATGTAGTACATGCTATAAGTCTTGCTAATGTCAGCTCAAAAATGGCTGTATTTCTTAAAGGCAGAATTAGATCTAACTTCCGTTACTTTGGTGCTTCATCTTGACAAAAATTGTTTCAATTTTAGAATATTTTGGGCTCATTCGTTGTCATGCCTGTTTTCTAAAAATACCCCAAGAATGTACTTTTTGAAGAAAAACTAAAGATTTTTACAATAATGCAATCATTTGTCTACAAGAATGTTGGGAGAATATAAATATTTCCCCCAATTTTCGGACTTTTAATCTTAAATAACTTCGTGCGATAACATATCACGGTTCTTTTGGGAGATAATATATTTGAGCTGGTAAGGAACACATTGTTAGATCAATTGTAAATATTGCTTGCAATATTGTCACTCCCTATAGATCTGATTCTGCCTTTAATACCTGGCTAATCCAAATACCTCCGACAGCGATGCAGAAGTAAAAGGAAGACACCAGTAACATCACAGAGAACACTGATGTTTTGTTGGTATTTATAAATACTGGCAACATGCACAACCTGATTTATGATAATAACATTACATAATGCAATTAAAATCCCTTCCATCAACAACAGAAGCATTTACCCAGCATGTGAAGCGAGCTCATTTCCAAGTAGCTATATGGAAAAGATTCTGATATGCCTGCCCCCCCCCCCCCTTATCCTTCCAACATATTTTGGTTTAGGAATTGACAGCACTGGCTCACTTGTTCCAACATCATTGCCCAAGGATACGCCCAGTGCCCCCGAAGAAATACGTCAGCTGATAAAGTGCACATGTGCATCAGAGGGCAGTGTATGTGGAACTGGACGACGTTCATGCTCCAAGGCATCATTTATCATGTACGTTGTTCCGTGTTTGCAATTGGAATTAAAGCAATTCAAGATATGTATAACACCAAGAAATGACCCCTGAGAAACAACATTACTATTATGTAGGTTACTCATTTTAGGTATTTAGTATTATTTATTGATAATTATATCGGAGACGCCAATATCAAGTTACCATTTGCATTCGTTCGACTTCACTTCTTAAAGGAGAGCTTCGTTAGTTTATAACTAAACTCGCATAGGGTGATATCAATTTGATATTCTCTTCCACAAATGAATCTTAAGTACCTCAATTAAACGATTTTTAAATAAAAAGCAATCATTTATATCATTATCGTGCTCAGCTGGGATACGGATAATATATACGTTTCTCATTTGTTGTTCTTTATGTATTCAGGACATACAACAAAACTCAAACTCAGCCTGCTGCACTACTATACACACATGGGGTGATAAATGGAATGTATAACTTAAACCTTGAACCAATATAATCAGACATTGTGCGTAGCTATTCCCTAAGAGAACACATAATCAGGAAGCATTTAGAAAGCATTAAGAATGTCGTTAATTATTAGCACCATATGATTATTATTGACAATTTATTATACGTAGCTAATAATTTAATTATCTTAATGTTTAACCAATTTGTACTTAATTTTCCATTGGACGAACTTATGTTTGCAAATGACATGAGTAATTATCGTCATGTGTTAAAGGAATGCATTATATTTTGTAGCCTTGCAACTAAACGTTAGAAATAAGTATACACTGTACGGAATCGAAGTTGAAAAGATTGAAAATGAAAGCTGTGATGTTTTGTCTCCAACATTCACTACAGAGAAATAAGGGAGCTGGCATATAAAATCGAAACGCCAACCTGTACGTATGAACAATCACCCATACAAATGCATCGCTTAAATGTTTTCCGTTCACGTTTAGGTTGTGAAAAACATTGAAACCTTAAACTCCCTTTGATAATGTGCCTCAAACGCGTTACCCTATGCGTTCGTTTGACTTCGCTTCTTAAATGATAAAGCGTCTTATAACAATTTTTAATAGAAACCAAAAATATCGAAATCGACATTTACCGTCCGCCATCTTAAATGGGAAGGTGACGGCCGTTACCTTCGCTTGATACTGACCAGTGTAGACTAAGTGTAAGAGTGTCCTCAATCACTCACAAATAGAGTTACCTGGTGAAACTTTTAGATCTTAATCATGATGAAAATATCTGTCAGATGATTAAATTTCAAGAACATTTCTTCATCACTCACATTTATTTCATGCTTGTCTCGGTCCAATATTTTGGAACACCCTGTGTACGATATAGTTATATGAAATATGATGCTAGAATGATGAATTTTATACATCCTTGCTTAAACCCGGGACTTAAATCCGTTTTATTCAGTCATTAATAATAATACTAATGTCACTTGTTTTTTTCATTATGTTGTGGATGTATGTAGTCCACAAGATAATGAGAGATAATCTTAGTCCGATCCCCTCTAGATTTAAAGATAATTACAAGAGGCGGGAAACAAGAATTGAAAAAAGATGTAAGCGAATGGGTTCTCTAATAATTATTAACGTTGGCATAAATCAAACAATTTGGTTACAACGATTTAGATTAATTGGAGTCATGCGTTAAAAATTAAAATACGAAATTACTTAGTGAATATGTGGAATTTGCAAACAAGAATCAGAAAACACGATGAACTGAAAGATTCACAAAATGATTTAAAGTATTTCAACCGCATCATATTCATTTTGTCATTCATTATAATCACATGAGATCTCTTATCACTATTTGTTGATTCTTGACAGTTCATCTGTATTTCCTGTGTATATAAAGAAAACAATATCAAATCAATTATTCACATCGTGACAATAATGGTACGATTACTTACCATATATCTTCAGTCTAACTCCATTGAAAAGTTATCAATCTTTAGCGGAATCGTTCATAAGGATTCTGTTTTCAGATTGTATAAACAATGATTTATTTCGATTAACCTATTTACGCATAGTCCATAAACATTAGTTACGTTGATTTCAGTTCGTCAGTGTTACTCAACATCCGTTCAAATATGTATTTTTCCCTATGTGATAGCATCTTCCATGCATCACTTTTCCTAGCATGCATCTCGTATTAGATCAGCCGAACCAATAAGAAATCCTTCCGATGATGACATCGATTAGGTTTCCATGGACACTCTATTACAACAAATTTGATATTAAAGACCGATCTTTAGACCATGTCATGTAAGTCTAGTTTGTATCTGAATCAATTATGTGACATTATCTGTTGCTGTTGCACGTAATATCGTTTTAAATAAAATTAATCTTAATTCTCTGATGTTGTCGAACTGCTCTTGCTGATGATGTTTGAGTTGTTATATATTGATACAGCATTGCCCGAACTAATTTATTGGCTACCCGGTGGCTACCACGTCATGAGATAAATTCGTATTTGCTCAGTAAAACATCTCAACTTGAAACATTATCCAACCAAATGTTAGTGTAATTCTTTTATACTTGGCTATCATTGCATTTTTGTTGAAATAAATACAATGATCTGTAACGTTAAAGTGAGCGTCTGTCTTCTTAAACACTAAATAAGACATGTTGCCTTCTTGGAGGTAAATCATGCGTGAAACAGAAGCTTTCTCCTCTTTGACTAACCTTTTGCATTCTTGTGTTTCGAAAACTATAGAGTGAGGTAAATTGGTTAAAACATGCCTTCTAAATAAAGCCTAGCTTTATTACCCGGTGAGGTAAATTAGAATGGCCACTACATGTTTTAGTCTAATACCAAGAATGAGGTAAATCTGCACATAAAGCAATGCTTTATTACCTATAGTGATATGAATCAGAGTGGCCTCTACATGAAGCAATGCTTTATAACCTATAGTGATATGAATAAGAGTGGCCTCTACATGAAGCAATGCTTTATTACCTATAGTGATATGAATGAGAGTGGCCTCTACATAAAGCAATGCTTTATAACCTATAGTGATATGAATCAGAGTGGCCTCTACATGAAGTAATGCTTTATTACCTAAAGTGATATGAATCAGAGTGGCCTCTACATGAAGCAATGCTTTAGTACCTGTAGTGATGAGTGGCCTCTACATAAAGCAATGCTTTATAACCTATAGTGATATGAATCAGAGTGGCCTCTACATGAAGCAATGCTTTATAACCTATAGTGATATGAATAAGAGTGGCCTCTACATGAAGCAATGCTTTATTACCTATAGTGATATGAATGAGAGTGGCCTCTACATGAAGCAATGCTTTATAACCTATTGTGATATGAATGAGAGTGGCCTCTAAATGAAGCAATGCTTTATAACCTATAGTGATATGAATCAGAGTGGCCTCTACATAAAGCAATGCTTTATTACCTATAGTGATATGAATCAGAGTGGCCTCTACATGAAGCAATGCTTTATTACCTATAGTGATATGAATCAGAGTGGCCTCTACATGAAGCAATGCTTTATAACCTATAGTGATATGAATCAGAGTGGCCTCTACATGAAGCAATGCTTTATAACCTATAGTGATATGAATCAGAGTGGCCTCTACATGAAGCAATGCTTTATAACCTATAGTGATATGAATAAGAGTGGCCTCTACATGAAGCAATGCTTTATAACCTATAGTGATATGAATAAGAGTGGCCTCTACATGAAGCAATGCTTTATTACCTATAGTGATATGAATCAGAGTGGCCTCTACATGAAGCAATGCTTTATAACCTATAGTGATATGAATCAGAATGGCCTCTACATGAAGCAATGCTTTATAACCTATAGTGATATGAATAAGAGTGGCCTCTACATGAAGCAATGCTTTATAACCTATAGTGATATGAATAAGAGTGGCCTCTACATGAAGCAATGCTTTATAACCTATAGTGATATGAATAAGAGTGGCCTCTACATGAAGCAATGCTTTATAACCCATAGTGATATGAATAAGAGTGGCCTCTACATGAAGCAATACTTTATTACCTATAGTGATATGAATCAGAGTGGCCTCTACATGAAGCAATGCTTTATAAGCTATAGTGATATGAATCAGAGTGGCCTCTACATGAAGCAATGCTTTAGTACCTATAGTGATATGAATCAGAGTGGCCTTTACATGAAGCAATGCTTTATAAGCTATAGTGATATGAATCAGAGTGGCCTCTACATGAAGCAATGCTTTATTACCTATAGTGATATGAATGAGAGTGGCCTCTAAATGAAGCAATGCTTTATAACCTATTGTGATATGAATGAGAGTGGCCTCTAAATGAAGCAATGCTTTATAACCTATAGTGATATGAATCAGAGTGGCCTCTACATGAAGCAATGCTTTATAACCTATAGTGATATGAATAAGAGTGGCCTCTACATAAAGCAATGCTTTATAACCTATTGTGATATGAATCAGAGTGGCCTCTACATGAAGCAATGCTTTATAACCTATAGTGATATGAATCAGAGTGGCCTCTACATGAAGCAATGCTTTATAAGCTATAGTGATATGAATCAGAGTGGCCTCTACATGAAGCAATGCTTTATTACCTATAGTGATATGAATCAGAGTGGCCTCTACATGAAGCAATGCTTTATAAGCTATAGTGATATGAATCAGAGTGGCCTCTACATGAAGCAATGCTTTAGTACCTATAGTGATATGAATAAGAGTGGCCTCTACATGAAGCAATGCTTTATAAGCTATAGTGATATGAATCAGAGTGGCCTCTACATGAAGCAATGCTTTAGTACCTGTAGTGATGAGTGGCCTCTACATAAAGCAATGCTTTATAACCTATAGTGATATGAATCAGAGTGGCCTCTACATGAAGCAATGCTTTATAACCTATAGTGATATGAATAAGAGTGGCCTCTACATGAAGCAATGCTTTATTACCTATAGTGATATGAATGAGAGTGGCCTCTACATGAAGCAATGCTTTATAACCTATTGTGATATGAATCAGAGTGGCCTCTACATGAAGTAATGCTTTATTACCTAAAGTGATATGAATCAGAGTGGCCTCTACATGAAGCAATGCTTTAGTACCTGTAGTGAGGCAAATCAGTGAGATGACTACAGGGCGGGCTCCAGGGCATGAGTTGTCCTGGGGATGAAATCTCCAGTGGTTAAGTCGTCCATATTTCTCATAGAACTCCATTGTACGATTGGATTTTTCAAACCAAACATTTCAAAATTCTAAAATGTTCAAAGGTTGCGCACAAGGTTGTAGGTTAATTCTCTGATGTTTGAAACATGATTCATTGGAAAACAAGAAAATTTCAAAAACATTTCATTAGCACATTTTTAATGCTGGCAAACTTGTTGCTTGAAAAATACATATTTCAATCAACCAAGCCTAAAACACTCGATCCAATTCATATTTTCATGCCTACCTACTTTGCGACTAAACCCTTCCTTTTTGCAAATTATCATTGTTTTTATTGATACAAGTATAGATACGGCAAAATAAATATAATTTATCTACTTCTATGTAGGTATTTCTACGGATTTAGTTAATGTCCTATGTTATCCTTCAAAAATAGTACTTTCTTAAACTCTAATCAATAAATTATGTGAAGGGATAGCAACGATAAAAACATTCAGTTACAGTAAAAAAGAAACGGATTGAAGCAGTTTAATTTCCACATGATGTCCAAACCAATTAGAAGATCGCCGATGATGCAAATCTACAAGTTGCATCTGGTGAACGCTTTGATATTCTTTCTCTCTGTATGATCGTTCAGAAGTACACTGCGGAAGATAAAAGACAAACGTTTATGAAGTTTAAAGACAATGTGATTCCCTTTATCGATGTCACCAAATTGCTTTTATGTTTGGTTTTCGATCTATTCATGTCGTTGCCAGGAAGGTCGCTTCGGTTAATTTGATCAAATTTATACGTTTGGCCGAAAAAGCTCTAAAAGAAAGGACGAAAAAACTATTTATATTATCAGAAAACATATGGTGCACTACTTCAATTACCTATCACTTAAGCTGATAGGATCAGCATCAAGAAACCATGGCGAATTCAATTTAGAACACCAACCATGCAAAGAGAATCCACACACAATGTTTGGATTCCTAATGCCTCGGTCTCATATTCTATGGCAACCGTATGGGATAAGGGAAAACATAGGGATAAGCAAAACGACGCAGATATTCTATATAGATTTTGAGAAGCTACGGCCGCCGTAGAGAAAATGTGACTGAGGCTTTTTAAATCTTTCATACTTGATTTCCGGTTTGATTATCATACAATGGCAACTCAAAGATGGTAATCTTCAGCAATCTTTTATATCGATATATAGTCGATCTCATAATAAGGAGGAGATGCTACATGACTTAAAGTCACCATGAATCTTTCATGAAAGACTGCCAAAAGGCTTTGAAGTAACTGCATTCAAAGAAGGTAGATTCCAGACTATTTAAAGAGTGATATAATTCATTAGACACTTAGCCATAGCAGATACTTAATGCAAAACACACTTTGATCAATAAAATAACTATGAGACAGATGTACCCACTCATTTCATTGAGAATCACCCCAATCACGTTCAATAATACAAATGTATCTGGCCCGTAGCCAGGATTTGCCAAGGGGGGTTCACTTTTTGAAAAATTCCAGGGGGTTCACTTTTGACAATTTTGGTCCACAAATGGCCCAAATCACTTAAAAAGTGCTCGGAATGGTGAAAACTGCATGATTTTGAAAGAATTTTTGGCCAAGGGGGGGGGGTCGCTTTTGTCCATGTCTTTTATAATAACTTTTATGTTAGAATAATAGGACCAGTAATTGAATGAAGGCTTTTATAGTGGTCGTCTGAACCCAACCTTTTTTCTTCGTTGTTTATTGCAAGCAAAAACATTCTGTCATTCTCATGACATCTTTCCTTTTCGAAATTATCAATGAAAACTGCGATCTCACGTCACGTTGAATTTAAATCAAATTGCATTTTAACTTGAAATAACTGATGAATGATATTGTGTCAAGACAACAAAATGTCTGTTTTTAAACTTAGGAGACGTTTAAGTCATTTTTGTAACAAATTGGCGCGGTTCATATGGTTAAATCAAAGAGATATTAATACTTAACTCAAAGGTAATGATGCCGACACAGAATCAT